TAAAGCGTTCGTCGTCGCTAACTCTTAGTGTGGAGACTGGAGCACCCACAGAGATTAACAACAGACGAGATAGGGTAACTGCCCGACTGACGAGATCGCAAGATCGAAACACGTGTTTCGGGCTCTATAAATCAGCCCTCATTGACAGACCACTGACATGCGTGGCTCAAAAAATGATTGCAAGGCATATTGAAATTTGAGTGTGGTTTTAAGAAAACACTTGAAACGAGAGATATTTCCTATAGCGCTTTGGCGAAGAAAAACATTTGTGTTTCACACACGTGTTCCTCTCGTTCTTTCTTTAGATTGTCGATAATCATTCTATAGCGTAAGATTTAGAGATTATAACGCTGTTTGTTTTCTGGAAAGACCACTTCTCCAAAAACGTAAGCAGAATTTTCATAAGGACCTCGTCGTACTAGTCAAATCAAAAAAGGAAACGCTTATTGGTTGACAACGCCAAAGTAAAGAGGTTGGCACATTTTTTCAGAGCATTCTTTGATCGATCAGAAATGAAGGAGACTTACGAACACGTAGAGAAAGACGCAGATTATCACTGAAATAACAGACAATATGCGAATCCTGTATGTCTTCTTTTGAGCCATTATGCTAGGAATTTGCTTGATTTTCCGTAACCACAGCGGTCGCATCGTTGCTCTGTAAAGGAGTTATTTGTAAAGAAAATTAAAACAAAAATATGGACAAAAGCAAAAAATCTACAACAAACAGAGGCTAAGTATAACAAAAAAACTTCGATTATCAGTCTCATCTACACTAATACATAGCAAAAACGAACAACGATGCACGAGTTCGGAGAGGGAAAGGGGTAGCGCAGGCGCTAGCGATGCAATGTATGAGGGAGCGCAGTGATTCGTCCGATTCCCTTCTCCAACACTCTTTTGAAGTCAATCAACAAACGCTCCCGGGGAACGCCTTAGCACAGGAAATTGTCATAATGGGTGGAAAATAATATGTATTAAGTCGTCCCATGAGTTCCGGAACTACTAGAACGGACTAGTGAAATAAGCACCAAGTTTGTTAACCATTCTCGGGATCTGGATTCCTCGGGACGTCAAGCGCTCTGAAGGAAGACCACCGATCCGTTGGTCCGATTTCTTCACGAAGGCAATGAAAAACAGATATGATGCTCAGCGAATCCCTGGAGCGACGAGGACCCACTGGACTACTCTTACACGCGAAAGGGAAAAATGGAAGAGTTGTTGGTACCCGCTCGAGTCACTTGACGATCAACGGGACGACAGTTGACACAAGTGAAGTGAAGAGAACTGCATGATCTTGGTATGGTTCAATTGCCCATTTTCTTGCGAACATTTTCGTATACAACTTGCCTATATTTACTCTACGATGAAGCTGTCTTCGGAATAAATTCGCTTGCTACTCATGCACGAATGGTGATAATGCTAGTGAAGGGGCTTGCAAGATCGACGGAACTTCCTGGAGACGGCACAAGCACGAGAGATCGATCCTCCAGACTGTTCTCTCCAGCTTTGAACTTTGCGATTCACTTCCTAGCTGTCCTTTCTACAACCGTATCATCGTCCCGAGCTCTTCCAACCTTCTGAAGACAGTAGTTGGTCGATCGCATAGCGCATCTCGAAGAGGCGCGCGATTTCCGTTATTCAATTAGGATTTTCCTTTCTTTGATGGTAAAACTTTAGGTTTTTTTGTGTTACTCTGATACTCTAAGATATTCTCTATATGGTTATACGTTTTAGTGCATATATAACTCTTCTCCACGACGAAAACCTTGCGTCCGAAACGTAATCTTCTTTTCGCTCTAACAGCGTTCTGTGATAATCTTCCAAAAAAACCGACTACAACGTCAAAACCCTCGAGATCTGGACTATCGAATGACTAGTAGGGTTTGGCGAGCAGTTATATAGAAGCCCCAGCAGAGCAGATACAGCAAAATGAGTGTGAAACATAACCTCATTTCCGCTGCTACAGCGTGACAAAAAGATTTTCAGGAAACATACACATTGTTGGAGTCCCAGAGATTTGAGCTTTTGAATAACTGTTTGAAGGACAATTTGTAGCTGTGGCTTGTAGAAAAGCTGTCCAGCGAGAAAGGCCTTAAAAAACCGTGTACCTCCGGTGGTACACGTCGTCCCACGGGGGTTAATATTGCGCTCCGCTTCACACTAGCATTTTCCCCTACAAGCCATTCGTGTATGAGTAGCAAGAGAATTTGGTCCCAAGACAACTCTATATTTCAGCAAGTATAGGCAAGTTGGGTACCAAAATGCTCGCGAGAAAATGAGCAATCAAACGATACTAAAATTATGCAGTTCTGATTATTTTTCGTTGATCAATTTGGTTTTTATTGCTTATGTGCAAAAAGCCCCAGTACTCTCTGACAGTCAACAAGAACAGTAGATACACACACGAGTTCATTCCCATTTCATGCGGTTTCGAATCTAGGAATACGAAGTAATTCAGTCGTAAAATACACTGTGATACACAAGCATTTTGACGACTCTAATGATATACTACCAAATTATTCTACAAGGAAATTATCGATACAAATTATATTTGTGCTTCCCATGCTGTGAAGTATGTGATACAAAGGTATGGGGGGGGGGGGGGGGGGGGGGGGCACAGTGTCCGAATGGTCGCTATGCTCGTCGTGGCGCGTGTGGAGCCGAACTACACCCCCAATACTCTCCGGCAGTCAACAAGAACACTCCATGGAACACCACAGCCAGGCTATCCTCGAGATTGCATAGAGACTAGCTCAACCAGTATTCTATGCCGTTCAAGAAAAATACGAAATACAAGTCGATGCTAGATCGATAGAAGTATTGGGATGCGCTAAAAAAAACTGCAATGATGGGTCGTGTGTGTAAATAAAGGTATAGGGACTTATGATACAAACTCATAGACCAAATGACTCGAAAACCGAAAACTTGAGACATTGATTCTTCTGGGAAGACGCGATCTCGCGGGCAGGCAGAAATGGGAGAACGGGAGCACTCTAGCCACTGGACTCCTATAGAGGCGATGTCCTTTCAGAGGACATCAATATTATTTTGGGGTGCGCAACCCACTGATACTTCTCCTCTGTTATCAATTTCTAACCGTACAGACATGATGTAGCGGGTCTCGTCCATAGAAAGCCCTACTCCTAACCAAATATTTCCTTTCTAACATTTCGGGGTTTCGCCTTCTTCAGAGCCTAAAAAGATTAGGTTACCCACAACCCAGTCAACCAAACACCTCCATGACTCCAAAAAAAAAAAAACACCAGGGATAAATTCCAGTCGCATTGAGCACAATCAACCTTCAACATATCGCTCTTTGTTAAGTCTTCTGCTGAGACGTTTAAATGGAGCCCAACCGTAAAGAAATTACATGGACTCCTAGTGCACCTCCCTCTCAAAAGACCGTTATGACAGGGTTATTTTGATGATTTTGATGTGGAAGATGCATTAGCAGTCTCTGTACGGTTGAATTCCAATTGAACAGCTCAGTAAAAGATTTATAGAAAGCGGGTTTTTTTAAAGAAGTCGATTTTGCTTAATGCGAGTGATATCCAAGCTTGGTGATTATTTTTTCTCTTCTGAAATAATGGAGGCGCATGGTTGACTGGATTAAGGGGAAACCTGATCTTTCCAGGCTCTGAAGAAGGGAGACCGTCGAAAGGTCAGCTATCAAATAAACAATATTATAGAAGCCTCGTGTTCAACTCGGAAGGAAAAATGTGTGATTTATCGAAAAAAATCCAAGGTTAATCTAGTCGGTGTTGAGAAAAAAAAACATTTTCCCAGCATTCAATTATCTACAAGAAACTTGTTTTCGTACTAACTTCCACGCTTTGCAAAGAAATTATCGCAATGAAGAGTGTCCAGTATGGGAACTGTTACTTGTTCGAAAGCAACAAAGACGTTCTTGATGCACTTGATCGCTATCGCTCGAGATTTCAAGACACATCATACCTTTATTTCAAGTGTTTTGTTAAGACCACGCTCGAATTTCAATAGATCCTTTCATTATTATTTGAGCCAACTTGTCATGTGGTCTGGTAAGGGCTCTTGTAAAGCCCGATACACGTGTTTCGTCATTACAGACTCGTCAGCCGGGCAGAACCCGTCGTCTTTCGATCTTCTTATTAATCAGTTCTCTCGGGAGCCCTACTCCCTCTACCGAGAGTTATCGAAGGTCCAGTGAAATTTTCACTTAACTCAGCAAAGAGCAATTAATTGTACAACACTCTGTGTTAGGCTTTGAGGCTTAGGCCTGTTAGGCTCACGCTTTGTTAAGACCACGCTCAAATTTCACATGACATGGAGTGTGAAACGTTCGTCTTCATAACTCTCTGTAGGGAGAGTAGGGCTCCCGAGAGAACTGACTAATAAAAAGATCGAAAGGCGACGGGTTCTGCCCGACTGACGAGTCTGTAAGGACGAAACACGTGTATCGGGCTGTACAAGAGCCCTTACCAGACCACATGACAAGTTGGCCCAAATAATAATAAAAGGATTTAAAGAAGCTTTTAAATCACTATAAGGCACCAAAGGGTACTTGTCTTTTGTCAGGCGACAATAGAAAATCCGTCCACATTCGCTGGACAAAGACTTTCCATTACACCTTCAGGAACCATTCAGAAGCCTGAATCCATGGCTAGTGCGCTAGATGCTCATTGCCTGAATAAGCCTTTTTGCAACGCTGTAACACAAAGAAAACTATCGGGTTTCACAGAGATGTACTTCTAGCAAAACTCAATTACTCCTCTAAACTATGAGAACTATTCGATAGCGTAAGTTTCGACGATTCCAACTCTGTGATTATTTTCTAGAAAAACCGCTTCACTGTCTCGTAGCAAGGGAAATTAGATTGAGTTTCACATGGCAAGCGTTGTTCTCTGCCTAAAGTGTGGCTGGGCGAGGGGGGTGGGCGGATGCCGGCCGTGGATTCCATGCAATCGATCGATCGACCGGTCGCGAAAATAGGATTTATCACGAAAGAATGGGAGTAACAGGTGCGCCTGGTGGCACAGTGGCTAGCACGTACCTCTGGGAAAGGTGAGACGCGAGTTTGAATACCGCGGAAGGTGCAGAATTTTGCATAGTATTCAACATGATTTATACTTAGTCAAATTAAATAGAATAGAAGATGTAGGTGACAGAAAAACGAATAATCGTCTGCGTATACATCACAGTTCGAGTCAGCAATTCCTCCTATCTGAGAGCTCACGTCGGAAACGTGGATGCTACTTGAAGGATAAAAGATTACCCAGCTCTGCTAGTTCCGTGGTTAGTACGCACCCCCCTCCCCCCCCCCCCCCCCCAAAAAGGGCGCGACGCTGGTTCAATTCTTGTCCGACTTGAAACCCTGTTCAGTCGGCGGGGCTAGGAATATTCTGCGCCATTGGGGTTTTCAGTTCATTTATTTTGCATAACCTGGGCTCTTCTCTCGGACTTGCCCTCCACGAAGGTCTTGGAAGATTCCACAGGCTGCTTCACGAGCTCCCTGAGGGTGTCGTCCTCTTCATAAAGTCGTAGATATCTGGTCAAGTCAACTCTTCAAGTAATCTTGGAGATAGTCGAGCTAAAGCGTCCCTCCACGTAAATCGAAAAGAAAAATCATTGCGGAGGGGGAGGGGTGAATCGAACCAGCACCTTACTTCTCCATAGACTGCGTCACTAACCACTTCGCTATCCTCCCACGGCGTTATTACAAAATAAAATCAAAAGAAAAAAGTTAAACAACCACGACATAGCCGTTAAACTCGGCGAATGAAATGGCAGATTCAAATTTTCCCGCGCAAAATCGTCGCCTACCGTAGCCAGCCGCCTGCACATCTAAGCGGCGCGTAAGTGTCGATGACGTCACCGGGTCGTGCGTGTATAAATACTCAGTCGGCCGTCGTCAGTCAGCGTCGCGGGTTGGTGAGTGATTTCGTGTCTGAGAGTCGTGTGGTTGTTGCTCAATGTTGTTCGGAGGGGAGTTTTTGCTTGGGATTGATCTACTACGACGAAAACGCGGAGTTCCAGTGGGCCGTACGAGCTCCTTGAAGATTCGGAATTTTCTTAGGAAAACTCGACCTCCCGCCAGTTTGGCTCCCATCGATTGATATTTTCGATCAATACCGTCGATGATGAGGTTGGTAGTCGAAATCATCAGCTCTCAGGAAGACACGGAGTTGTTGAGACATGGCCATGATGAGGACAAACCCCTTGATATCTTCGTCTTCTTCAGAGCCGATGATTTCGCCTATCAACTTCATTATCGACGGTATCGATCGGTAATATCGATCGACGGGACCAAAATTGAGGAAAGTCGAGTTTTTACGAACCTTTGGGCTACGCAGAAGACGGAGATATCAACACTTATCACAAAATATCACGATCAGGTACTTTTGGCTGCGTTTCAACAAACTCGTCTTCTTCAAAGCCACAGGGTTCGTGAGAACTCGGACTTTCCTCGATTTCGGCCCCGTCAATCGATAATATCGATCAATACCGTTGATGATGAAGCTGATGCTTATAATCATCGGCTTTGAAAAATCTTCTCCGACCAACGTTTCGGCCGGTGTCCTCGTCTCCCTCTGCAGACCCGAGTCGGTCCGAGTGTTGGCTTCAAAATCAGAGGTATTGATCGATAAAATCAATGAGTAATCCCGAAATTGGAAGAAAATCGATCTTCCCAGGCCTCAGTATTTTCTATCTAATCACTTCTTTTGAGCCCATAAGGAGGTGTTTCAGGTTTCCGTAAAAGTGTCGTGCTGCAAGTGGATCAATATGCATTTTTTTGTATTCATTTACCTATATATTATATTTATTTGTGTACGTTAACAGCATTTTTATGGCAATAATAAGATATTATGAGTAGTATTTTTGGATTAAAAATCTGACGGCTCTGGTTTAGACCGGCACTCACGTCGTAAAAAATGGCACAATCGGGAGGAAATACGATAGTATGTTGACCTTTTCTATTCTCAAGCTATTTTTGCCAAATCCATAATTACCCGGAGCTCAGTGAGCCCATCGATCAATAAATGACCTTCTCTTTTACGACCTGTTCCAATTTCAGTCATAGAGAGTTCCAGAAATTCAAATTGTTCTATCTAAGTCTTGGCATGGTGGTTTTGCCTCAATTCAACCCGTTGGGGACGGCACCTGGTTGGTCACGCGGCGCGGTTCGCAAGCGGCACTCGATTTTCGTAATCTAAAATAGGGTTTTTCTTCTCCGTGTTCAAAGGGCTATGAAAAGCTTTTCTAGAAAGCTTTCACATTTTTGAGATCTTCGAGACTTATGCTAACGAAGAAGTATCAGCACTCTAAGAAAGGGATTTTATCAACTAAAATATGCGCGAGATAAGGAAAAAACCCATAGTTGTGTGAAACATAATTCATTTTGGATTTAACAGCGTTATGAAAGGGTGTTTTGAAAAATCGGCCACGTGAGGCTGAAGCCAGAAATATAAGCTTTCGAATGATTACTGACACTCCTATGGAAATTTCTTGCCCAGCGAATGAGATCGGTATTTTATTTGTTCCCTTATAATCAAAAAGAACCCGAGTTATTTTATCTAAGTCTTTGCGTGGTGGTCTTGTCTCAATTCAACACGTTCGGGACGGCAGCTGATCGATCACGCAACGCGATTCGCAAATGGCGTGCGAATGTTGTAATTGAAATTAGGATTTTTTACCCGTTTTGATAAGTACTGTAGTTTTTGTTGTTACTTCGACATACCAAGGTTTTCTCTAGACGCCTATGTGCTTTTCGTGCACCACCTGTATCACCAATCGTCCAGTTGAGTTGATCGTCGCATGCCTCTAGCGGACTCCAGTTATGCTTCCATTTTTCCCTATCGCGTACAAGAGTAGTCCAGTGGGTCCTCCTCGCTCTAGGAATTTGTTGAGCATCATATCTTTCTTCTTCTAGGCTTTTCATGAAGGAATCGGACCATTGGGTCGGTGGTCTTCCCGTAAAGCGCTTGACATCCCAGGGAATCCAGTCGGGAACGGCTCTCGTCCATCGGTTCTCGTTGAAGAGTGTTACGTGTCTGCCCCACCTTCTTTTCGATAGCCTGTCGTGCAGAATGGAATCTTTGACCTTCGATCAATGACGCAGGTCAGAGCTTTGGATCCTCTCTCTCATTTGCGAAATACGGGACACTCCTAACATCAACTTACGGCTGCGCGCTCAATAACGCGTAGTGATCTTTCATCCTGCTTACGCAGCGACCAGGTTTCTGATGCGTTTTTAGGGCTGCATTCCTATTATTTACAAGCTAGATTCCTCGGGATATCAAGCGCTTCACAGGATGACCACCGAGCTAATGCTCCAATTTCTTCACAAAAAGCCTGAAAGATAGATATGATGCTCAGCGAATCTCCAGAGCGAGGAGGACTCACTGGGCTACTCTTGTGCTCAAGAGGAAAAAATGGAAGTTTCGCTGGCGCCCATTCGAGTCACTCGACGACCAACGGTGCCACAGATGATACTTCAGGGCAGGGATATTCGTCGAATCGAAAAGGTGGGCACGGAGTCGCGTCTTTTCGTCCTCTTCTTTACGTCCTCTATGCTCTTGAACGTACCCAAGCCGCAAGCCGCTTGTTATTGTCCTGCTCAGCTCGTGAGCTAGGTCGTTCATCGTGTTGGCTTCACGATCTAGATAGACGTAACTTGATCATTCGGAGATGATCGTTTCGTTGAGCGTGAATGTGGCCTTCAAAACCCTTCCGTTCCCTTCGTAAACATTGTTCTTGGTGACCTTTATGTGCAAGGAAAACTTATCGCGTGAAGCTTGATCTTCCTTCTGCTCTTACAGCACTAAGTCCTTCATAATATCAAACTTTGTTCCAGACTCTCCAAGATTTGAGCTATCAAATGTCAATCAAAATTCCAATAAATCCATCCATAGACCTTAGCCAAGCAAAAAATGCGCTTCGAGTGTGAAACGTAATTTTATCGTTGCTGTCACAGCGCACTGAGAAGGCTTTCTCAGAAATCAAGCATAGTGTAGAAGTCGTCGAGATTTAAGCTGTCGAATAATTACTAAAAGAGTAAAGAAAAGGGTCCGCTAAGTAAAAAAAAAGAGCTCCATCTCCATATAATCATTTACCTGGAGAGGTACTTGCCGTCCCCAACGGGATAATCTGGTTTGGGTAATTTCATAAGTTTCAGACCCGTAAATTTATAAGCGGTCAAATTTTCCCACACTTTCCAGCAAGAGATTTCCATCTGGGAGAAGCTACTGTCACTGAAAGCATGTGGAAAACCATTGCAAATGCAAATAGAATGATCTTTGGTGCGCAAAAATTTGACCCCAGGCGGAAGTTAAACCGTTTCAGCTCCCGTAGTTCATATCGAACAAAGAGTGCGAAGCAGTGGCACGGTGGTGCAGTAGAAGCATAAGAGTGAGACGCGGGTTCACCAGCCTGGGGTCAATTTTTTGCCTGCAATTCAGTTATCTTAGATGTTCGATTACTACATCGTGCCAATGTCAGAAAGCAGTAAAAGGTCCCAAATTCTATATGAAATGCGAAATTTTGCTCCTATCGATTCCCCTAATTTCAGGCTGAAATATACAAGGGAGTAATACAGGATGTTATAAGTCAAGTGAAAGAAGCATTTCTCGATGAAAACGTCGATATCGATGTGCTCTCACAATTGAAAAAGGTGATTTTCTTGATAAGTAATAAGATTAGGACGGTATCACTGGTTTTACCCTTTCATTACGGCCGGCTGTCGGGCGGTTGGCATGGCTACGAATAGCGGTGGGCGGCTGATTTGAGAGTCTCAAAGAAATCCTTTCCAGTAGAATTTAATTAGTTGATGACGAGGAAGTCTCTTTAATACTTAAAAATACCTACGAAGTGCCAGATCTTTTTTAGGGAGGGTATCGCAAATCTTCATAAGCCGTTTGAACAGCACGCGCGGCATGCGTGTTCGTTTTCGATGCACAGCGTAACGAAAGGGTTAACCCCGCTTCCCTCCTTTTCGAACCTGGCAACCTCGCCCTCAGGTGGCGTTCCACGGTTTTGCTTCATTAACAGGGTTTTAATAAAATAACTTTTGAATGAAAAGAAATAAACATCTTGTTATAAT